GGAAAGCTGCTGGGCAGAAAAGGACCTGGGTTGCTGGTCGACAGACAGCTGAACATGAGCCGGCAGTGTGCCCAGGTGGCCAAGAAGGTCAACAGGATCCTGGCCTGTATCAGACATAGTGTGGCCAGCAGGACCAGGGAAGTGATCGCGCCCCTGTCCTCAGGACTGGTGAGGCCGCATCTCGAATCCTGTGTGCAGTTTTGGGCCCCTCACTGCAAGAAAGACAGTGAGGTACTGGAGCGTGTCCAGAGAAGGGCAACGGAGCTGGTGAGGGGTCTGGAGCACAAGTCTTGTGATAAGCACCTGAGGGAACTGGGATTGTTTAGCCTAGTGAAAAGGAGGCTGACAGGAGACATTATTGCTTTCTGCAACTACCAGAAAGGAGGTTGTAGCGAGTTGGGTGTTGGTCTCTTCCCCCAAGGAACAAGCAACAGGACAAGAGGTAATGGCCTCAAATTGCACCCAGGGAGGTTTATATCGGAGATTAGGAGGAATTTCGTCACCAAAAGGCTTGTCAAGCATTGGAACAGGCTGCCCAGGGAGGGGGGGGTGTCACCACCCCTGGAGGTATTTAAAAAATGTGTAGATGTGGTGCTTAGGGACATGGTTTAATGGTGGACTTGGCAGTGCTAGGTTTATGGTTGGACTCAATGATCTTAAAGGTATTTTCCAACCTAAATGATCTATGGTTCTATATTGCCCATTTTGAATATGCTGCACACACCTCTTAAGACAATCTGGACAGACAGAAGTGAAGAAGCAGAGGAAACAATCTAGTTTTTTTCACTCTGAATTTTAAATTCACAAAATTTTGTGTTTGACATTCTACTAGGGAGAGAAGTTTCTGTCTACAGTGCACTGACTATTTTCAACAGGTGGCTTTTTTTTGTTTTCAATCAGAAATGTAATGTGAAGACTGGAGTCAGTGTTGTAACTGATTTGCAGAACCAGGATTTACTTCAACTTTAATCATTTAGAAGTTAAAACTTTACCAGTTCAATCATCTAGGCTTTCCTCATAACCAATGAGAAAGATATATGGGAAGAATGAAACTCTCAAAATGTCTGTCTCTTTAGAGCCTAAGGATTTGATGCCTACATATCGAGCTTTTAGATGGACAAAGTTAAGTCAGAAGCATCTCACCCTTATAGAGCAGCCTATTTAATCTGTTAACATCAGGATGAATTTTCAGTATTCATAAGATCTATAAATTTGTTTCAGTACAACATTAAACCCTTTACTATCTTGACAAGACAAATAATTGATAATGTCTGAGGACTGTAGTCTCAAAAACCTTTAGCAAAATGGCAAGGTTTGCTTCTTTTTATAGTTGGCTTTTGAACTACATATAAAAGATGTTCCCTAGATGCTGGAAAGCCAGGATATCAAGTAATCTCTGGGTATGTCCATAAATGTATGTAAATGACAGGAAAGACAGGAATAAAAGGATAGACAAAGAAAATAAATATAGTTTGCTGCACAGCTCTCTGTCTCAGCTTTATTTAGAATAATAATGTCTGTATCACCAAATTTAGAATTTCATGGAAATGAAATAATTAAACCTTAAAAAACAGTCTTCAACTTAAAGTATATGGTATCTACCAGACATCTAGCCATATATTTCATGTGAAGTATTTCTATAGATTGATACCATAAACTCATTTTCACATGATGTAACATCTGTGTTTATTTGACTGAGACTGCTGGAATCTTGAAAACAATCCATTTAAATTTCTGTCGTACAAATATTTTGGTAAAAATGTTGACATCTCAGAGAAAACCTGAAGACCTGTAATTTTTATATGCAATGTATTTTCTATACGTGTTTCTTATGACTACAACAGACCTTTCTTTAAAAAAACCCAAACAAACAATGGTTTTGTTTTGTATTTTCGCCTACTTTATCAGCTTCCAATTATAAGACAGTTTTTGGTGCTGAAGAAATACACTATACAGAAGCACAGAGATTTGTCTTACCTTCTGGCTCCCTGATCTTACGTCCTGCTGCAGATTTTCGTAGCACGCTCCGTCCTGAGTTGAACAAACTAGTTAACTCATCAAGGGGACTGGTCAATGACCTTGAGTTTGTAGGGCTGTATGGAAATGAAGATGATGAGTTTGAGTTCAATTTCCTGTGATCTGCTCTTGCCACCTTTGGGGAGTAAGGCAGTTTGGAGAATGGAGAAGATGAGCATCCAAGCTGAGCAGGATTTGGTCTCTGAGATACCTTTGACAGATCTGAGTTTGTACCTGTTTTCCCTGCATTAATCAGAAAACTAGCACAAGTCTCTGGAGGAAATGCAAAATGTGTGGAAGCCCGGTAGGAAATAGGAGGCGGTACAGGAGGAGGGGGTGGTGGGAGAGGAGGAGGTGGTGTGGAAGGAGGAGTCACTTTGCTGGAAACATTGAACACAATCAAGCCTGGAGATGCTGGTCTTTCATTCTCCCCTTTCTGGCTTTTGGAGTACTGTGGTGACAATGGACTTGAGCCTTCTGACTGCACAGGGTATTTTAGGTTGGTTTCCAAGACAGGAAGCTTCTTGACTTCTAGTGGTGTTAGAGGTGATTCATCAGAAGCAGGTGAACATGTGACAGGGGTTGGAGGAAATACAAGAAGTGGTGGCCTGTGGGGGAGCAAGTTAGGGAAAGGAGCTGGAATGTCACATGAGTCTTTGTAGATCAAAGCTGCTTGACTGTTTCCATCCAATGTTCCATCTTCACTGTTAACAATTTTTTTGCTTTCAAACAACAGAGGAGGAGATCCAGTCACTACTGGAATTATTCCATTACCATTGCTTCCTTCTTCTGGTAGAAAATACTTCATTTCTTCATATACAGACTCTCCTTGTTCTGGACTTTCTGCTTCAGCAGAACCGCTTTTCATTGCATTCCCTACCATTTCAATATAGACAGGCTCATTTTCCTCCTCTTCTTGTGACATATAGAGACTCAACACGCCATGTTGTGGCCCATCAGCAGAAGCTGCTCTCTGTACTGTCACAGTGTCATAGCCACCTGGTTTAGCTACTGTGCTCACCTGTTTTACATCCCCAGGCTTTTGGCCAGGTATTTCTTCGTAAGAGCCAGTAAGTTTCGTATTGGGACTTCGTTTTGGTTTTCTGGGAGGTATTTTTTTCATGGTACTATAGTCATCACTGTGTGGCCTTGGACGAGTCAGTACTAGGAAAGTGAAAAAGGTCTGTGTTATTAACAGATCAAAGTCAGATTTTTGTTACACAGGTCTACTATTTTAAGCCTTCAAAAGTTGCCCATATAGTCTGACAATGAGCAGCAGTCACAAACACAGGGATTCAGTATAAATATTTCAAGGAACGAAACGCAGAACTTTCAGCTTCCAAACCACAAGCCTCTGCTACCTGGTCATATAATCAGCTTTGGTAATCTCTACTGCCACTAAAAGATGAGGACTAACACCTGAGGAGATATCTTTTGAATCCAAATGTTCACGCAAGATCTGTAACACATGGAAATATGTGCTTGTTATTCCTTTTGCCCCAAGGGAGAGGGGCATGCTTTTAAAGAAGCAGGAGTTTCAGCATGGTACTGCTTTGACACAAATGTTATTGCCAGTAACTGAAGTATCCCCCTTTTATGTAATACCTATGAAACTCTAATTATAGGCAGATATTATGCCTATCTCTTCTTCTTTTGTACTGCAGGTGTGCAAATAATTTATAAAGTTAGGGAATCCCATAGCCTAAGGGCAATTCCCCAGCTGAGTATACAGTTAACTAAACTAGATGTCTTTTCATAGCCTCCAGGTGTGTACGGAGGGGAGAGACTAGATACCTAGGTGATTGGTGTTTTAAGATCAAAATTAGATGGTATAAATCAGAGCTGATTCTGGACACAGACTCAGAAAATGGACACAATTCTTGGAAAATGAGTATATGTCAGGGAAACTGGCCCTACTGTTTCATATATATGAAAAGAACTCCAAAGTTATTTTGTGAGTGTATACAAGCATTAATGTTAAGACCACACATACATACATAAATTGTCATTTTTTCAAAAACCTCGCTAGATCTTTTTGGTTAAATCAACCATCTCTTGCAGATCTGGTCACAGAAAGCCAAAACTACTACAGAGCTCCTTAAACCATATATTTTAAAAGTATATTGGACACAGTTCATCTCTCCTTACACAGAACTTGAATGACGAAGGAAGAGGATAAGAAAAATAGACTTGCATCTAATGAACTGGACACGAAAACAGTAATTATTTTGTAAGAGGAAGCTGCAAATTTTTCCATCCATTGTATGCAGGATTAGAGAATGGTTATCCACAGCTTTAAACCTAACCTGAAGGATCTTCCCTGATAGGCCTAGAGGATCCTTGTACACAAAGCATGACAAGTCAAGCTTATGAAGGAAAAGCAGAATGCATTCCTTCCCTTCATCCTCTACTCATTCATTTCAAGGGTGAAGGAGAATAGAACTGAACTCAAATCTGTTCCATATGCACTATAATGCATTAGAACACTTTGGGACTTTCATAGCACTTTCCTTCTAAACAAAAAATTCACTGTAAGCAAGTTATGGCACAAACATAAACCACTGAATGTGTAAGTTATTAGTGTGAACATAGAGAAAAAGTAGGAGGAAGTTTAATATTTAACTTGGTGAAATTCAAGATTCCGACATTCTGGTTTAGTGATGCAAGATATTCTAACATACAGTTTAAAAGGTGAAAAAAATGGTCAGTGGGGTAGAACAGTGCAAGCTGACAGATCATTTGTCTCTAGAGGGAGTTCTCCAAATAGTTTTTGTTGTTGACAAACTAGGTAATTAGAACATGAGTATTATTCGCTGATTTGGAAACAAATGACAAATTGACTGATTTTATTTACTGCCACTGAAATATTTCAAGGAAGTAGGACTTTTCAAAAGGCTCTTGACTGTGTTTAAAAGGATCAAAGTGAAAAGAATAAATCAATAACCTAGAGTAACATTTGCGACTCTTTCTCCCTTTATGCCTAACCTTCGTTAGCGGTTTCCTTAGAAGCTGCCGACAAGCAAGCACTAACTGCCTCATAGGAAGCACTCAGTCTTGTGTTGGGGTCCCTCTTTGGTTTGGGAGGAGGCTGTTTCCTTGGTGATGGCAGGCTATTGCTATCGTCCATGCTGAACACAGAGTGCAGGGAGGGGGATCTGATGGATGATCCAGCCGCAGAATGTACCAAGCCGTCCACTGCCATGGGGACAGGGACAGAGCTGGAATGAAAGTGCTTAGGCGTTCGACAGCCGGCAAAGCTGTCCTCAGAGACCTTCCCACCCTTGTCTTCGGCTCTGAAAACAGAGAAAAGAGGCCCAGATGCATTATTCAAGCGATAACAATGAACCTGTTCATGCAAACATAACAACAGCTTTTTAGTAAACAATCTCACAACTCCCCTGCCGTGTCGAGGGGATGTGTGTAGTAATCTTCTGACAAACAAATCCAGATCAAGCTGCTAGCTTTCTTCCATTTCCTGTTTCATGATAAATCAGGACACCGGCCCTTTTTCACACAAATGCAGCCTTCCTTAAGCAGTTTCATATTGTTGATCAGACATTCACTGAATGAATTGTTCACACTTTGATTGTTATACACAATCAAAAGCTGGGTTTTCAATCTGAATGATAATTTCTGGGAAATCCATTTTAATAGAAAGTTACTGAGGCAGCAAATGCTTAGCCTTTATCGTTATTTTCTAAAAAGGCCACTATAAATTCTATTTAGATAATGCAAATCTTTAAAATATTAGATGGCCTTTTTAACCAGCTACATTGGCTGTTTGAACAATTCCACCCAGATATCTACGTATCTTCCTGTTTAAGCTTAATTATTATTTATCATTTTAATAATATTAACTATGACATTATGTTTAGTTATTTCAATTACAGTTTTGGAGTTTTACTTATTTCAAATTTTCTTTTTTTTTTTTTTTTTTTTCCATTTCAATATGCATTGAGAAATTAAGTTTATCAGCTGCTTCAAAGAAATTGATTTTTAACAAAAATTCTTCTAACATTTTATTCCTCCAAAAATCAAAACAATGAAAAACATTTAACTTAGAGCACTAATGTATTAGTTAGAAGATGTCTCTACCATCTTTTTACAAACAAATCCTCAAGCATTTGGTTTATTAAATTGTATTTCTGCATGGCAAATCACCAGCAGAGCTGGAATTCATGCACAAGATATAGCCAGCTGCCCATGTAGTAAATGAAATAGCTAAAGACGAAAGCATGGTGCTCAGTGGATAATTTGTTTTCACTGTAATGTTTAATTACAGTCTTTCCTACAAAGGCATTTCCTCCAATATGTAATCACTGGGATATTTGAAGCTAATTAAGCAGATGCACTGCCATTTTCACTTTAATAAAAGTCACTGACAAAAGCAATGAAAGCAAAGGGAGTTGTTCTGGATGAAAAGTAAGTTCCTATGCAAAAATAAACATTTATATGTCCAGCAAGATAGAGACACGTTCCTGCTATAGACACATACCTATTAACTGCAAATGCTACCTCTGCCCATTCAACTGTCTGAGAGAAAAGAGATCAGGGACTCAGTTCCTAGAGAAGGGCTCTCCAGCATTTGCTGGATTTATAAAATGGGTACTTCTGAAAACTATGAAGGGAGTTAAACAAAAAATATTTGCCTATTTTCAAATAAGAGGAAAGAATCCTCTTCACAATCAATCTACCTAGTTCAATGTGTAATCGAGAGTTCTTAGCCTGGACTTTGTTGTATTTTAATGCCTTTCTAGCTGGTTTTATCTTGGCAATTTCCCAAGCTTGGAATTTTAAGTTAGAGGAATTTTTCTTTTGTTTGTTTTGTTTGATGAAAGTTCAACTATAATTAATTTATTTAGAATTAAAAAACATTTATGTAAAAAATAAATGCCTCAGAGACTTGAATAAGTTCCTATAAAGCTCAGTTCCCCTGAAAAGGATATTAGGGGTGTCCTTAAGTTTCTAGACTTAATTAACTGATATACAGAAAAAAAATAAGGCCTAATGTTGATTTGGGCCAAGTATATACTTGAGAATCCTCTTGCAATTCCTCAGTCATTTCTATGACTTTCTAAGCAGGGAAGGAAATCACTAAAACTGAAGAAATATTTTAATTCTTCACAGCAGATGTTTTCTCATCTTACCTTTTGTGGCCTTCTTCTGGCCTGTTTCTAGCCTCTAACTTTTCCCTGTGGTAAGCAGCATTCATCTCATTGCGGAGCCGGTCATTTTCCCGAGCAATGTCAGAAGCATTTTGAATGACTAAGGCATCATATGTTTTCAATCCCATATCTTCAGCGTTCTGCAAGAAGCTTTTGATTGAGGTGACCTCTTGCTGTTTGACACTCATCTTCTGTAGCAAGCGCTGGCGAGCTAGAAATCCTCTTACAACTACCATAACAGAAGGAGAAAATATGGACCAACGAAAGACAACTAATTAATTGGTGAGTAACTTAGTATTACAGTGTATTTTGCTGTAAACACGAGCAAACCAAGTTCAGTCAACGTCTTATACAAAGAATGAAAGAAATGTGATGGCATACAAATAACATATTAAAAGGGAACTCTTTCTGTTTTCTACTGCCAGTGCTTAAAACAAAGTATTGACAGTAAATTCATTCATAAATTTGAGCTATCACAACTCAAAACGTTTTCTTTCACTGAATGTTATTTTTTGTTACAATGCAACTGGAAACTTAGATATATGCTACAGACCATGAAAGCATACATTTTCACTGCAAAGGTCAAAAGATTGTTTGTTTAAAAATAAACCCCCGAATAAATGATTGTTGCATTGAATGCAGTAAAAATTAAAATGATTGTTTGCTTTTGGTCAACTTTAAAAACTGCTTTGAATATTTCAGGGTACCTAAAAATATTAAAATCAAAACAGACACAAGATTTTTTAGTGTGACTTAAAGACCTTTTGTTGCTCATTTCCTTTCAGCAAAAACAATTATATTAATTTAATGCAAATTTCTCAAATGTATCTGTCACATCATGTCTGCATTTTTCAGTTAAAAATTTTCATCTGCATTGCATCATCTTTATGTATCTATTAGGCCTGTTTTTCACAGTCAGTTTTATGCTGGGAGAAGATTTTAGTGTCTCTCCTGTAACAGCTTTCTGTACTATTTTCCTAAGTATGTACATTCATTACAGCAAACTCTACCCAACCTAAATACCACCTAGTGCCCTGAATTTTCAGAAGTACCTGGCTGGTCAGAAGCACAAGGCACAGGGACCTCTGTGGCCACAATGAATTTGGCACCAATTTAGTCCCTCCACCTGCAACAGCTGGCATTAGTATTCTCTCAGCATATGTTTTGGCTTAGAAGGAAGAAATTCGCTAACTAAAGGTGTTTTATTTGTGTGGGTTTTTTTCAAGTTCCACAAGATCCTGATTCTTTCCAGACCTAGAATAACTGCTCTGTACCTCACAGGGAAGAACCTATTTTAAAATTAGCTACCTGTGGCCTGAAATATTGTTGATTTTCAGTACATCAACTGACATGTATCAAAATCAGGTGAAACTTCATCATCGCTTATTATGGTTACTTTCATTCTGGTCAACCGAAAGATTTTAATAAGTGAAGTCTTGCATAGCTTGTATAAGATGTATATTTGAACTTGGGGGAAAATACTGAAAATGTTAATATTAAGATTGTAAGATAAAAAAATGCTAAAACGCATTAGGGCTTTTGTTACAATGTAATTAAGTTTCAGTCTTAGGAACACTGCAGAAAAACATTAAATGACAGAGTCAAGTTAAATTAATCTAAAGGAAAAATGTAAACAGAGAAAGATTCAATTAGTCTTCTATGAATGTAAAATGTTATCGAATAAAATAAACAGCTAAAACAGAAGGCCATGTAAGGTATTCTCTGTCACCTTCTATGTCCTTGTTTAGACACTTAAAATAAGATCTCTTTTAGAGATGCTCAGTGCCCAGCTGACAAAATACAAGAAAGGTTAATGTTAACATACTAACACTGCTCCTACCCAAAATTCACTGGGTTTGAAAATATTCAAGTCCAGGTACTTTGAGATTATTTATAATGGACAACTCTGAAGGTTGATATTCTTATAATCACAGCCAGCCGTGCCATTTGCAATCCCTTTAGTTACATTCTATAAAATCTGACTTCTTTAAACCCTGAAATAGTAATGCACTTACCCAATCTAGTTGAAAAGAAAATTAATAGTACAGTTAGTTGTTGACAATTTTATGAGAGTATTCACATCGGATGTACATGTTACTGAGTCTGAATCCATAATGTTGCTGTTGCAAAGGTAATGAATACATGCATAGAACATTATCAGAGTTCACTGCTCACAAATATGAAAAAGTAAAAAAAACTTAATAAAAAATTGCTCCTTCACCTCTAGTATTTTCTTTAAGCTTATATGCTGCAGAGCAGATAGGGTGTTCGACAAATGGTTAAGTATCAAATCGTGGATGATTTTTGGAAAAAAGCCTGTATTTTAAGGTAACATTTTAATAAGTGTGTGTGTGTGTGTGTATGTGTGTACTTTTACCTTGACAAAAAAAAAAAAGGGTTGGTAACACCAATAGGGTTGGTTAGGAAAACGAAATACAGAGGTCAGTCCCCTGGTAGGATCGCTAGCAGGCATGAACGATGCAGAGTAGCCTGATAGGACTGTGCAGTAAACTGACGTCCAGTACAGCTAGCTGTAGCATTTAGAGACTGTGCAGCTGTTCTGAACTGTGCACTTTCATCAAAATTGAGATATTTTGAAGAAACATTCTACAAGGTTTTGTCAGGAGGGGCTGGCAGACGTAGACACCCCTCTTTTTTTTTACACACATTTTCATGAACCAAGTAGCTCAGGTTTTCATTAGAAGATGGACATTTCACCACATTTCCTTCTCTGTGAGAACATTTGAAACATTCTCTGTGAGAACAAAAAACCAATTTCATAACCTCAAAAACTGCTGTGAAATGAAATCGTCATCTCCTAGACCTTTACTGCTCAGTTTCATCTACTGCTGTTTGGGTGCTAATATTGTCTTCTGAATTTGCTCCTCATTTTTGTAGATCTAAAATAATTCTCACTTATGTAAACTCAAATAATTGAGGTTAGCACCCACAAGTCAGAAATATATCTACTTTACAGTTCATCCAAGGATAAGGATCAGAATAATCAAAATTCAAGTAGACCATGGATCTGGGTTATGTGAGAAATCTATTAACCATTGTGTATACGATGCATCAACTCCTAATCCACATGAACTCTGATGGAAGAACTTCAGCAGTATGGACTTCCCTACAAGTACAACAACTTTCTCAGTGATTTAGTACGGTTAAAAATCCCCATATGTTGTTCTCATATCTGTGGAAAAAAAAATACGATAAAGTACCTAAACTCACAGATCTGTTTTTAGGTAAAAAGTATTTCTATACATGTTTTCACTTTAGTTTGACCTCTTCCTTTGGCTGTGTAAATTAACTTCCAGGATAACAGAAAAAGACTTACCTGGTTTGTTTTGTTTTGTTTTTTCCCCAAATTTATGGAAATGCTGAACAGATTGCTAGTAAGACTGAGGTAAAAACAGCTGATAAGAATTTTGGGCAAGACCTGTTTTCCCTTTGAATTAAGTCCTTATATGGGTATATGATATTACATTTTAAGCCTGATACAAAAATTATTGAGTAGTCTGCCTATTAGTCAATATATTATCAAGAGCGATTTAGCTTCCAAAGTCCTCTGCATTTAAAGGATGAGGGGAGAAAAATGTGGATATAGAATCATAGAATCATTTCAATTGGAAAAGACCTTTAAGATCATCAAGTCCAACCATTAACCTAACACCACTAAGCCCACCACTAAATCATGTCCCTAAGCACCACACATATATGTCTCTCGAACACCTCCAGGGATGGTGACTCCACCATTTCCCTGGGCAGCCTGTTCCCATGTCTAACCACTCTTTCGGTAAAGAAATTCTTCCTAATATCCAATCTGAATCTCCCCTGGTGCAGCTTGAGGCCATTACCTCTTGTCCTGTCATTAGTTACTTGGGAGAAGAGACC